ACTTAATTACTTAAATGACATTACAGTGGATACTTAGCCTCTAATTTGCCTTGTGCTTTTAATTTCTCTTTTCACCACATTTTAATACAAAGAAGTCAGTAAATGAAACATCTTACATTGTATTTAAAACTGAGCAACCACTCATAGGGGGTAGGAACATTAGTCAGCTTACCCATCAGTAAACACAGGCAACAGAAAAGTATGTACATTATGGGCAGAAAAGGAATAGTAATTTGTTGTTCACTGACTAGTACTTTGTTTGGCCTAGGATATTCAAGTAGGCTTGAGCCTGTTCTAAACTAAAGGAAATATATTTATTGCTTCCCTCTTCAGAGCAAGGAAATGTATGCATTTATTTTCTCTAAAGATTCCTTATGCCTTGATTTGTCTTGTATTACAGCAGCCCGAATCCTTGAGAACATGGACACCACTGCAGAGCCTTGTAATGATTTTTACCAATATGCCTGTGGAGGATGGCTTAAGAGGAACGTCATTCCAGAAACCAGCTCCCGTTATAGCAACTTTGACATTTTAAGAGACGAACTAGAAGTTGTTTTAAAAGGTCAGTGGGGTTTATGTTTGTGGACTATATAAAGTTTCTTCTTTGGCTTACATGTTATTCTAATAAGATGTGGTTGTCTAGCAAAGCTTAAAATACTACCAAATATTTCAGTTTCTTTGTCTTCGGTTCAGGGCAAATCTGCTGCAAACTTTTTGCTTGGAGAATGCTGTGGAAGTTATGCTGTTGTGTCTGACAGTGGAGCGGAGTTGACCAGACCTGACCTTTCTGGTATCTGGACTCTCTGTGCTCATCTGCATATTATAACAACTAAAATCCGTATCGTTACCCTCATGCACTAACAATAGCAGCCAAGCTAGGTGAAGAAGAAAGAGGTTTGCCCGTGTCCGAGTCAGCTGAAATGCTGGAAGTTGCTCTCTGGCAGCCCTGTGTCCTGTGTATCTGTATGCCATCAGCTAAATCCCAAAGAGCAGGCAAGCAATTTTCTAACTAGTCACATAATAAACTTACAAATACTCCTTTTTCCACAAAATGTAATAGTGTCCAACTGTCCATATTCCCCTTTTTCAGGCTAAAATAGCAGAGTCAAAGAAGTCTGTACTCATGAAACATTCTCCAAACCACTCCCTCTAGACTGAATATCCTTTTTTCACTTGGCATATCTTCTGGTTTTGCCAGGTTTGCAGTTTATGGATGCTAAAGTGTTCCTTAGGCTTAAGTTTCTGTGGACCAAAGCAATTGTACAGTAGTAATTGGAGTAACTGTAAAGTAGTGGCCAGAGTGGGCTGCCCCACAAGGGAAGACGCGCCGGGAGCCGACTGTGACTCGAGGCAGGCAGGGACAGAGGCCTCACAGACAAGGGGCTCAGTCCCACAGGACCCAAACCAGAAGAGCAGAGCAGGTCCGGTGACAGTGACCAGGTTCAGCCAGCAGCCCTGTGACCACCAGGCAAGTCCACAGTCATGCAGCAGGTCTGCAGGCAAGTCAGCCAGGCAGGGTCAGGCTCAGCAGGGTACGAGGCCAGGTCCAGCATACCTACAAGAGCCTGGGCAAGGACCACAGGCAAGGGGCTGACCTGGACTGCTGCTCCTGAGCCAACAGGCACAGGGTGCACAAGTGGAGGCACCAGATGTGGCTTCTGTGGCTCCTTCTTACAACTTAGCCGTTGTCACAGAAGTATGATCCGCGGTCACACAGCTGCACCATACCAAAGCAGACCTTGAACACAAACAGCTAAACTCCTGGCTGCAGTGAAGAGATTGCAGATTAAAATGACAGGAAAAGATGGTTACAGGCTGGTCAGTGCAGTTAGAGCCTGCTGGTACACCTAGGGCCCTGACAGCACTTTGCTTCATACAATAGCTTGGTCACCTAAAAACTGTCCCTGAAAAGTCAGAGCATTTGTATTCCACCAAGGATGATCCACAGAATATCTACCTGACTCCTTTATGCTCAATATATTAACACAGACTGATGTAATTGCAAGCCATATAATCTCCAGAGCTTTTTCCCCTCAGCTTTTGAAAGGCAAAGCCTCCCTGGAGTTTGAGATGGACAGGGAGCACTTATCGTCCACCCTCTGGTCCTCAGGATGGTATCCTCTATGGTTCCTTAGCATCTTTCCAATAAAGATCAGGCATAAAGATATATTTGCTGTATGTGTGTTTCAGATGTCCTCGACAGACCAAGCAGTAACGATATAACAGCAGTGCAGAAGGCAAAAACCCTGTACAGATCATGCATAAATGAAAGTAAGTGTCTCCTGAATTTACTGCATATAGGATATGTAAATATCATCCAAAGAATCCCATCTTCACAGTCAGCTATACCGATATCCTCCTACTTTCTGTGCATAATTTTTCAGAAATTCTTTGTGAAAACTAAAATGTATCCATTCTATGAAGTCAAATAAGAATGTCAATAGTAAAGTTAGTACTGTTTCTCCTGTTTTACTTGCTTTGGTATTTTGGGTGGGATTACATTACTCTTCTGTTACCAGTTTGCTGCAGATACTTAATCTCAAACCCTTTCAGTTAAATGTGAGTTAACTTCTTTTGTAGAAATTATCAGGGATGAGGTGGAAAATAACTGGCATACCAGGCTTCTAGAAAGACAGGGAGATTATTTATTTCAAGAATTTGAGCTAGATGCTGCCACTAGAATGAGGAGCAGTAAAACAGTTACCAGTGATTCCTGAATCACATGTTTTTATAGTTTCTCTAATGTTATTAATACTTCTCAAAACTCTTATTTCAAGCTGTCTGCGGAGTGAAAATACAATAGTTCTTCAGTGTCATGGTCACAAGGATTTGCATATGCTCTTTGCAGTCATGACCAAAACATGTTTTTAAAATTAAATGTTAAAGCATGGTCATACATCAGAGCATGCTCCTATTGTGGTGATGGTGAAAACATATTTCTCAGCTTCATTACCCTGAACTCATTATAATAGTATAACATTTGTGTGTTTTAAAATGTCATGGTAACTAATTTTATTTTTCCAAAAGCTACCATTGATAGCCGAGGTGGAAGGCCTTTAATCAATTTATTGCCAAAAGTATCTGACTGGCCTGTAGCAACAAGTAACTGGGATTCTTCCTATGGTAAGATAATCTGTGTTTATTTCCTTTTCGGTTAAATTTCTAAATTACTGTACTTTTCATTGCTTACCAAAACCAGAGACTGAGTATACCTTTCATTTGCTTAGGTACTGCTTGGACAGCTGAGACAGCTATTGCACAGCTGAACTCCAGATATGGGAAAAAGGTCCTTATTAATTTTTTTGTTGGCACAGATGATAAAAATTCCACAGCACATATCATTCATGTAAGTGTTCCTGGGTGGCATCGCCTTGTTTATCATAAAAATGCAGCAAAGTAACTAGAAGCATAGAGGTAAATGTTAACCAGGAGAAACAGTGATTTTAATTTTACCAGCCTAAGTTGTAGATGAGTTTGTGAATCTATGTAGTTTTCAAACTTAAATGATCAGTTTCACAGTGTACTGTCCATTCTCAACATTAACATCTTTATTCTGTGCACTCATACACTGTTATTCTCAGTGAGACAGGAATAACAGAGACATATATAGACACACAGACAATTTATGTGTACACTGGACAGATGACAGACATGATCTACTTATATATGCATGCAAGCAAATAGGTAAACACGATTTCCTTACCATGTGCTTCAGGCAGAAAGCTCTGTCACTGAAAACCTGGGCTACGGTCCCGATGGCAGCAAGCCCACAAAGGGGGTCATGTTTTTACAAGGTATTCAGATGCCAGAGTACTAATGGGACCTGCAGTCAGCTGGCACAGATATGAAAGTGGCTGAGAACATTTGCATAAGGAGTATGTCGAGAGTGCCGTGCCTGTAAATGTAAGATGATCTCTGAAAATGGAAAATCCAGAGGAGGACAGTATTACCTGTGGTAACACTTCACCAGCTACTCCTGAGACACAACAGTTACAAGAGCAAAGGTCTAATCTTTCTGTCCATGGGTGGATAGATCCTGGACTACATTGCATGTATGAATTTCAAAGATGCAGTAACTGCCTTGCTTGTCTGTGGACTGTTTTGTCTTCTGTACATCCACTGTTTTCACAGTGGTTACACGTAGCATGTATTGTTCAGCAACAGAAAAGAAGACTGAAAAGAAAGACAAAAAGCATAAGGAGAGTGAGAAGAATTAAAGGAGGGCAACAGGATGAGAGAGAAACTTCCCTTTGGCCAGAAGATAATTTGGCAAGAGTGAAGCATCAGCGACCTATAATTGACCAAAGAATAGTACAGTGCTATGCCATTTTGTCCTTAAGCACTTTTTAATTTTTATTTGAATTTACAGATTGATCAGCCTGGGCTTGGCCTGCCTTCTCGTGACTATTACGAATGCACTGGTGCATACCAAGAGGTAAGATCAAGCTGACAGATCACTGACTACATTTTAGAAGTTTCAGCCTATATTTTCAAGGCAGACATATCCTTAAGAGTGGGGACAGACAAAGAACAGGAGCCCAAGAGATTCCCCAAAGAGATTCCAGTACTGCCCCTGGGAAGCATCACTGGGAGAATTGGGGAAACTGGAATTAGAAAGGTAATGATGATGAGCATTTAAACAAGGTTGATCTGCAGGTGAGAACAGCATGTGTGACAGACTGGAGAAGGAAGTTCTAACATGGGTAAGTGCGAGAAAGCAAGAGAGCCAAAAGGGAAATGAAGAGGATATAGAGAAATGAGATTAAGGGCAAGCAGAAATAAGTTAGCTAAGAATGGGAGGGAGCGTAACAAGTGTCCTGAAGATGAGGCGTTACCATATTATGCCATAAATGTTGGTGACCTAGTTTGATTTTCCTGGCTGTGCTGGGAGCCAAGGGGGTGTTGTCTAGGCTCCAGTTGCCAGTACGTACCAATTGTCTCTGCACTGGCTGAGAAGACTGCACGTTCCTCTGGCATCACTACACCCCGGACATCTCAACCTGTCTCCTTTCCTGTTTCCCCTTCCCTTCTCTTCCATTCCTCTTGTAATCACTGAACATACATGTGGAAGAAAAGTAGTAGCTTTTCCACACAACTCCTGTACGATTATGCAAGTCAGAAGAGGAACAGCTACTTGACTTTTTAGGACCTCTTGGAAGGAAACAAACATGACACAATTTAGCTTTGTTACACAGCTTCTGCCAGGCTTCACAGCTGAGTCAAGAGGTACCTCGTAACTGTTAAAGTTGTATTAAGATAGAATATGAGTGCTTATGGATCACCCCGTTCTGTCACTACAAAATGGATGCCACTTCTGAGCTATGATGAGCTGGCATTGACTGGCAAGTGCTGCAGGTGTCAGTGGAGTCCAGGTGGACTAATCATATCACTGAGAGGCTTAGAAAGGAAAAAAGAACCATTCAGAACCAAAGACACACTTTTCCACGTGAAAGATCTGAAAAGATCACAGTCCCCTAAGTCAACTGCTGAATGAAAATGCAGCAGCTAAAGCATGTGATATCATAGAAATCGCTTCAGATATATAAAATCTCATATGGTAGTCTTTAATTCATGTTTAGTTATTATTCATACGCATTTTCATTAACTTGTTAGCACTGACACTGCATTCCTTGTTGCTAATCTTGGTTGTGCTTTAAGTCCTTGAGAGCCAAGTATATGTATTTGCTGAAGTCAGTGGTAGCTGAAACTGCTATCACAGTAACCTTTCATTAGACTGTTTTCTTCTGTGTAATCAAATGCAGAACCAATGAGCAAGCATACAAAATGTTTTGGTTTTGTCGGTATTTTGCTGACGTGCTAACAGTTAATACTCTTAATACTGATTACATTTAATTACAGATCATATGCTAGTAAAGACAATCATTACCATATTAACTGTTCAGTTACATTATTATCACGTGTTATGGCCTCTAGGAGCTGGCTCATGTATCGCAATTTGCTCTCCTCCTTGTATTACATCAACTGCAGCACTAAAAGACAATTCCCATTCTAATCTCTGACCTACCAGAAGGTATCATGCTCTTTCCACTGCTGGGAAGTAGAGGAGGAAGTATTTAAAAAAACCCACTGAAAGGCAGATTCATAATATTCTTACAAGCATGAGTACTTCAAGCAAGAGACTTTCCTCTTTTCAATCCCTGTACTCCGATAGCAGCCTTTTCTTGGCCCCGTTTCCTGCTGTGTCATTCTACTCTTTGAGCTGTATGTAGCAAACAAGATAGCTGCCTCCTGCACTTTAGCCTCTGGCTTTGTCAGGACTGCCCACCGCAAAGCTACAAGTGGAATCTGTGAACAAGAGATATTAAAAATCTTTTTCCCTTGTAAAATATATGACTCCTCTCCTCATACAGGAGTTATTCTGATATCTAAGTTCCCACTAAAATATGTGAGGGTATTTATACAGTCCATCTGAAATCAGCCAACTTAGCTCTTTGCTACCTGACCATACCATGATCTGCACTTTAGGCCAAAAGTAAAGTCCATTGATTGGTACCTGAAGGTCTCTGTTGACTTACTGGTTTGGGGTAATGTCTGCACTGAATTCTTATAAAATGTGTTTGGATATTTTAAAATGGCATTTACAGGCTTGGTGAGCGCTCTCTTTTGTGACTTGTCATAGCTGTCAGTGGGCTTTTCTCTTTCTGCTAGAATAATCTAGCTTGATTAAAAATAACACTGAGAGTTCAGCCCTTCAGGATGCTGTGAGCCACCTGCCTGTTTGAAGTCTGCCGTCAGTACTTTTCACGAGCCGCTCAGAGTTTTCCAGCGCACACAGCCTGTTATAGCACAGCGTTGTTGGCAGGTAGGGGAGGCTGACAGGAGGTGGATGGCAGGGAAGGTAGCTATCAGAACGGCTGTATGCATGTAGCGTTCTTTAAAGGGGTGCGTCCTACTGCCATAGGAGCTGAACATACCAAAATATTTCTATTAATAAAGCTGATATGCACACCTCATTAATCCTAGGTTTTATCACTGTTTTAGTACATTATGCTATTTCGCATAAAATAGAGTTATTTGATAGCTAATCTAATATTAGGTATTTTTATTTGCATTTAGAAAGCATATGAAAACAGCATTTCTGTTGATAGAAAAATGAGTGTGGCTTAAAGAGGAATTAGAATAATATAAAGTTCCATAAAATATAATGAGATCTGTAGCTATTTGGCAGTGTAACCCTTAAGAGAATATAATTCCATATTTCCATTCTTATCCTTGGTGAATTCTGATATGTTACATTTAATATATACTATATAGTATATCTAGGTATGCTAAATTTAGATACAGCAACATGATTTCTAAATGTTCCAAGAAGCAACAGAGGAGATACACTGCTTCTGGGAGTAATTTTCCCACAATGCTAATTCAACGCGGTCCATCGGCATTTCTCTCGGTTTTATGTTTCTGGGAACGTTGCTCTTTGGAAGCGGTATTTTCGGAAATTGTAATTAAAGTGAGCTAGAAAAACCACGGGTGATGGTTTAAATATGGACGTACAAATGTCTCATTTTAAATAATGAAAACACAGTGCAGTAGTTGAGACTGTTTAGCTTTGAACAGTGCTACAAATTATACAGCAATTTTCCATGAGGGAATTTTCGAAGTTAATTTCTATTTGTGATCTAACAGTATTTCAGAATAAACTACTATTAAACTATTTAAGAAAGGCATGAAGAACTGTAGTTCACAAAAATGAAGATGAAATCTTAAAGATAATCAAGATATGCTATACTTTGAAGAGTTTTGTCTTTAAAATGTTTGTATTTTTTCCTGCAGGCATGTTCTGCCTATGTTGATTTCATGATTTCTGTAGCTAAACTAATCCTACAAGAAAGAAATATTTCTTTCAACGAGAGCCAGATTTCTGAACAAATGAAAAGAGTTATGGACCTGGAGAAAGAGATTGCCAATGTAAGAAAAACATTTTTAAAGTATCCTTTAAATAACTGACTTTTTCCTTAATACCTAAGAAAGCTAACTGTAAGCTGAGTTGTTAAGTTACTTGTTAATGTCATTTTGTGGGATCAAAAGCTGACCAAAAATGTATGGGGCCTGGCACACCTAAGAGGAACACATAATAAGACAGACATGCCTTCTAAGGAGCAAGGGAAAATATTTGAGTTAGCTGTTTTCCAAATAGCAAAGTGTTTTATCCTAATCTGTTCACAGAAGCCCTTCAAGAGAAGAAAGAGAGCATGCGCAAGAGAGCCTTGGTTTCTGTTTAGTCTGTTTTAGGAAGTGAGTTTGGGGAGATGCTGTCGGGCCTCTTCTCCCTTTGTCCTTTTTTCCCCGTGGGCTGTTTGGTTATCCGAGCAGTAGATTCCCAACCCTTGGCCTGCCATGCAACACAAAGTAATGTTTGTCCTGCACAAGCTGCTCCACAATGCTGATTGTTCCAAGTGCATTTTTAATCAAACACTGTTCTCCATTAAAGTATGGCTTGGAGAAATAGCTAGAATCTGAACAGAGGAAAACAAATGGAAATTCAAGCATTCATGAGCAAAAACATTGCTTATGATTATTAAACGTTTCAGAAGGACCTGAAGCCGAGGATGGCTGTAAAATGAGCCAAATACAAATTTTCTAGCTTCAGCTATTTTTCAAGTTACACTGATAGTAAGGGCACGTGTTTGGCAGAGGAATACCTTCCCCCCCCCCCCCCATTTGTATAAACGAAAACCATCTGATTTCGATTTTCTTCACATTTTCCTGAGAAAAAACACCTCTGGGCTTAGATCAGAGATGGAAAATTATTAGAAGAACAGGAATTCATTGGAGAAAGATTTGAAGGGGACTATGAAAGGAAACCACAACTGAAATGTCTCTACAGCAGTTGCTGCTGATAGAGAGTGCAGCTGGTGGAGGGTAAGCTGCTGTTGCCTCGGCTTTTAACTTCTTTCATCAAAAACTCAGCACTAGCCTGAATGTTTCTGGAAGAGAGATGGCATTGTGTTCTTGGGAATTTGTTAAAGAAAATGCAGAAAAAAGTACTGAATGCATAATAGATTAGGAAAGAGGAAGTGGAAGAGAAATCTTTTTTAAAAAGTGATAGAGATAAAATCAGACTTGGCATGACTGATTTTTCGAAACAGTTTAAATGGGTAAAATACACTATTCTCACTCCTGACCGAGTCAGTTAAGAGTGCTCAGGCAGTAGCGATGTAGGTTCTCCCATGAACTACTCTCATGGATCACAAGACCGCTCTTTTCCCATAGTTGTTTGTGTACCTGCATTTTCTCTCTTTGCCATAAAAGAAAGCGGAAGCTAAAAGGGGGTGGAGTATGAGGGGAGCAAGTGCTGATGCTGTCACAAGGTACTTCTGCATGAGAACAAGGGTATGAAAGAGGACACAAGAATGCACTTCAGAAGCCTGCAGAAGCATCCTTGCAAGGGACACGCTAGTGTTTGAGGAAAAGGACAGGCAGCTATCGAAGAGAGTATTCAGAGACGAAGGGGGTAGTTACCATTAGGTGCTGGTTTTGCCTCTTCTCAGTCTACGTTGTCCCCGCCCTAATCCCAGAGACCATCCTGCTGACATTTGCTATCTGAAAACCCCAGTGATTAACTCGCCTCATAAAGCACCACCGCAGACACAGTTCTCTGGCAGTCAGGCAGTTTTATCGTCTATAAGAAATATCCCTAATACAGTCATGCCATTAAGGCATTAACGTATGCACGTTTAACACACTGATGCAAAGCCATATTGCCTAGACTAACAGAAAGCTTATGATTTGAGTTATGACTCCCTTCCTATACAGTGGTTCCAGAAAGAACGTATCAGATAGCACGTGCATCCTGATCAGAACGCTCACACTGCGCTCCTACCACAGCATGCTGGTCGCCCTACACTCAATAAATACATCTCCTTTATTCCCTTCTCCCAGGATTTTTGTAACTATCGGTAACAGTGTCTACTCAGCGCTGTGAGTCTGTGTTCCAGTCAGTGTTCCCGCACAGCCTGAGTTGCTGATGCCGTAACACAAATCCAAAAAGTAAAGATCCATTTTATCATCAGAAATTTAGTTCATTTAGTCTATCCTTTTATATACTTTTTATCTATAAGATGCTGTCCATACTTACATGTGAGGAACTTTACAGTTAATGCAACCTTATAGTAATGTGTTAAGCCAGAAACACTAATTTTCTTTCTTTTTACTTCCACTTAGAAAATTCCTGTGAACTGACTCAATGTACTTAGTAATTTTCTCATTATTAACTTTGATAGGCAACAACAAAACCTGAAGACAGAAATGATCCACTTTTGCTGTACAATAAAATGACCTTGGCACAACTCCAAAACAACTTCTCATTGGAAATCGATCATAAGGTGAGCGATCAATAATCTGGTATTTTAACCTCTAATTTATGACTGATGAGACTAAATAATGAAGCCTGACAATTTTTTCTTTTAAAGACATTTCTTTCTTGAGCTTAGACATATTTGAAATTGAACAGGATACCTGACACCCACACAATATATTACCTAACCATCTGATGACATTAAATGATATGTAAAAGACCGTGCTGCTGTGCCCACTGTTTCTCCTAACTTGAAGGCAGATCTGGCCACTCCGCTTCAACATAAAGAGATGGAAAAGGACAAAGGAAAAAAATACCATGAGCTTGACTTACCCTCCTGGGTTCAGGATGGTAAATCTTGGAAAACTTGCACATACGTAACCCTTGCTGGAAGTCAGGAGAGTATTAAAATACAAATAAATTCCCGTCCTGTAATTACCACAGCAACTCCGGAGAGCCCAGGACAAAAGTTAGGACTGCAGCCACCAACTGATTCAAATATGTCGTAGTGTGCCTATTCAGGCCCTCTGTGTTTATCCAGAGCTGCAGATTCAGAACAAAAATTCCTGGTTTTCCAACATTCCCTCTGTAAGATGGGCTCCCAAAGCAAGCAGAAAGGAGCCCAGGAAGTCATGACTATGAATCAGGAAAATTCTCCCCATTCCTCCCACTGTAGCTCCCCCAGGATGTTTCAGCTCTGCCTTTTCTCTCACCCCAAGCCACATGCCGTTTGTGCACGGCACCACAGAGTCTCGCTAAAGAATAGCCAAAGGTTTGATAGCATAGGTATGCCTCCTCAGTAACATGTCTTACTAGACATGGATATTTTTTATCATAAATGACTTCTACTTCAGTAGAAGTCTTGCACAACAGGCAAGCAGGTTAACTAATGGTCACATGGAAAGCACTGTGGTCTGACTGGCAGGAGCACATTATTGAGTCTTTTGAGGCCAGTAAGGTACTACGAAATATTATTATTCCTACCACAGTTTCATAATCACTGCTATTTTTATTGACTTTAAATTCTTCAACTTTAAATTATATGACAGTTCATTTCTGCCTAGCTTAATTCGTTTCATAATTTACCTTCTCCCACAGGTCTTAGGTGAACAGTTACCATTACAGTCATAATGCCAGAAAGTAACTTCTCTTGCCACAGAATGGTATTGCCCTCGTTATTTTTAGTTCCTGGGGAGTGCTGCAGATCAGCAATAATCATCTGCTCTAAATTTATCCAAAAATGCTCAGAAGACTCATGATGGGAGTTGGTAGCGTTGTTGTAATGGTCTAAGGATAGAACAGCAATTATTCCTAAGATTAGTTTGAAGTTTGCTGCTGCTCTTTCAAACCTGAAGTGATTCTATTCCTGAAAGCTTATCTGCCTTCCCCAGCTACATCAGTTTGTCTGATGAAAGATGGTACCTCTCCCAATAAAACTTTCCTCTCAAAAGATACAGACTGGGAAAAATCACCAATACTTTTCAAAGTAATAGGCATAAGAAAAATTTTAAAAATTAACAAAAATTTATGAAAAAAAAGTACAAGATTATTTGCTGTTCGTAAATGTAATACCTTCCTTTTCATTACTACAATGAATACCTACCCAGTGTGGTAAAAGCACTGAGTGGCTCTAGAGTTCTGATGATGATTTTCAGCTTCTGCTCTGTATGATTTTCTCAGTCAAACGGTGGCCCACAGAGGCCATGGATTAGGAAATCTTGGGCCAATATGGAGAATTTGAAGCGGTGTATATAGAGTTAGCTGTAACATCAGTGTCATTTGCTAAAAGAGTGAATGGAGAAATTGGAGGAATATATAACACTGTAGAATCGACAGTATTGCAAGCTGAAGGATCTGTCTCCCTCAGCTGGTATCATATGGAGGAAGACCAGTAACACACACAATACTTGGGGAAATACTTAGCTTGACAGCAGCTGCAGGTGTGAACTTCCTGGGTAGGAGTATGCGGAGGTTATAACCTCCCACTAATACTGCTCTTGCTTTGGGTTACGTGATGGAGGAACAGCAACGTGGCTGCACGCAGCCCAGCTTCTTTGCCCACTTAGGGCATGGCTGCATGGCTCAGATCCCCGGGCTGTGCAGCCGAGCAGTGACCGCAGTCCGCGTTCTCCTAGTAAGCAAGAGAATGACTCTGTGTTCTCCAGTCAGTCCTTTGACCATCTACACTCTGAGGCATGTGATATTACTAACCAAAGACTTACCAAAGGGAAATTATTTTTCATATCAGCAAACTAGTAAGACTTTCCAGTTGAGAGTGCCCACACACTAAAATAATGCTCTGTTCAGACCAGATGGACACTACAGAATGAAAACTTAACAGAAAGTAATTTTCATAGATCCTGGATCATGAAAGTTATGTGATCCTCTCGCAAAAGCGAGTACCAGCATAAAGGAAATGGGAGCTTAGGACCAGAGAGGCAGCAAATGAACAAGAACTCTAGCCTTTGTCTGAGAATTGTCTTCACAGCATGCTGCAGACTGACCTGCTATCAAATTAGTTGCTTCTCCAATATCTAGTACTGTGGCGTGCAGAGGAAAATTCATTACAGATAGTGGATTTAGCGTGTTTGTTTTAAAGCCTATTAAAATAAATCCTTTTACGGACTTCAGTGTACTTCAGAACGAGTCCTTACCATATGCTTCAGAATGGATTGTCAAGTATACCACCAATCTTACTGTCCCACAGATCCAGAGACACATTGTACAGAAAATCAGACTGTTAGTCATGCTTTGACTTAAAAGTTTTTAGCCAAATATAGCAAAAAGGCAACTGAAAATTTTACTTAATATACCATTTCTGCTTTTCCAGGGTAAAAGGAAGGGTTCATAACATTTTTTGTTGTGTTAGTCTGAAATCAAAACAATGTCTTGACCCTTTCTGCTGAATACCACCCTATTGAGCACAGAGGATATAAATTATCTCAGATCAGTTATTATTATGATGACTCCATTTACAAATAGTGCAACTATTAGGAAAACCAAAGGCAGAGCATCTGTGTTATGCAAACATATTTAAACTGGAAAAAACAGCTCAATACGGTTTCTTTATGATTTAACCACATAATAACGCATCTTGATTTTTCAGGTATTCAGCTGGTCAAAATTCATAAATGACATAATGTCAACCGTACAAATTAAAGTTGAGAACACCGAACACGTCATTGTTTATGATCCAGAATACCTTATCAGGCTGAAGTCTATTCTTAATAAATACACTCCCAGGTAGGTATGTTAGGTATTTTTGTAATTTGCATTTTATTTCCAATAACCTTAAGCCTGAAAACATTACCAGCTTATTATCATTTTGTTAAACAGAGACCTTCAAAATTACATGGTCTGGCGATTCATAATGGATCTTGTCAACAGCCTAAGCCGTGACTACAAGGACACAAGGAACGCTTTTCGTAAGGTGCAGAAATCTCTTTCTAAGTTGTAAAGGTGACTTTTGTGAGCCACAAAAGATAATTTGTTAATGTATTTGTAGTATATAAAAATTTAATATATTTTGAATTTTGCACGCAAAAGCTAGATGTGTTTGCTGAAGCTTCTCCTGGAGTGTACACTTAATTTATATGATATATGCTTGATAGGTGGAGTGGATTCGAAAAGCACTGTTCTGGTACTTGGTCTCCATGATTTTCTGAATCTAAATTAATCCCCATTTTGATAACAGAAGAGTCCCATTTATTTGCAAATGATTAGTCCACAGTTCTGATTGATTTGTTACAAACTCTTCAGCATCCAAAGTAACACATTCAAAGACAAACATTATGGGCCCAATCTTGTTTTTCAGTCATTTGATCCTGCAGATATTTCACTGCTTTTAAAGAAATGGTGAGCAATTTCACAAACAGATCGGAGATGGAAGTCCTCTGTATTTCCACAGTAGAGCTTTCTGCTTTTTAAGTTTGCCCAGCTCCATTAAAAAAGGTTAAGGCCATTTTGTTATATCTGTTAGTGACATAAATAGTTCAACACACATATGCAGCTTTTTAAGGCGATTCTGCTTGTTACAGAAAAAGATAATAATTACTGGAGGAAGTCAACGAATATTCAGTTTGGTCAGTTTTATATATCTGAACAGGACAGTCTTATTCATTGATTATTTGGCTTTTTCCCCTACAAAGTCTGAAACTATTTTAATATAAAGCTTCATATTTGCTTAGGCTGCCTCATCAGGGAATACTCTGTTTTGCATTCTATAAACTGAAGTCATCCCCCACTACATCTTATGACTTCACTGAGGCCATTTCATTTAGAAAAATGTCACAAGTTTGAAAGAACAACAGAAAAAGACTTTACCATAGTCTATGTAGAAAAACATAAGAGTTGTCTGCTAATTAATTAATAATATATGATATAGTATAGCTGGAGCTTCTCACACTAAACGCAGCGGAAATAAACCAGTATTTGTCTTGTTAAGTTTGCTTTCAAATATAAATGTTAGGGCAGTTATGGCATTCCATGCATCTCCCATACCATTTTTTTTCTGGGTTGTGCGGCTAATTGGTCACTTACTCATTCAAAACTCCATTTGCTTTAAATACAGAGTGCTTAAAATGTGCTACAGAAAGTGCCAGAGTCCTAGCAGAAAGATTGTTGCATCTGCAACCACTTCCTTAAGAAATCATCAAAAAGATCTCATCAGATGACTACACTGCACGTATAGATGGGCCTATATGTGTTACTGAGGGGCTGTGCTGTCCCTCTAAGTCACTTATGTTTGGTTCTCCATCTCAAGGTCAAATATTGTTCAGAATTGTGCCCTTCCAGCAGATCTACTGCCAAGAAGCCCAGATGCGGGGGTGGAAGAGCACTCAGAGTAGTATCATGACACTAGTTTAATACTTACAGCTACTGGAACTCTGTCCTCAGGATACAGTTACGCCCACCAAAGAAACACATCAGTATCTTTCTTTTTTCCCCAGGATTTTTTTAAAGAGAAAAAAACTGCATTCCCTACAATGTTGTAGCTGAGAATTTATGCCCCATGAGATCAGGAGATGTAATTTCACATGCATCAGCACTGTGCATGTACAAATCCACAGTAATGTGTTTTAATTGCATGTTGTTTTTACTAATAAGCAGGTACGTTTCTGTTGCTGTAGAAAGCACCACTTCTTTTTTTCTTGTGCACCTTGGGTGAAACTGGGCTTGCCTAAAAAGAGTCTATCTCAGGGTTCCTGTGAAGGGCAATCCTGGTCTGATGCAAGTCCACCACGGTCTCAGGTAGCCCTCTACCCACATCATGCTGAGGCCAGTGAACTAGGATTGACTAGGATAAGCCTGAGCAGCACAAAGTGACCTACCAGACTCTTCACTGCATAGTCATTCTGAACTGGTTATTAAATTAAGCTCAGTACTGCTTATGTTTATTACTGCTTTTGCTTTAAGTTCTGGGGGAGAGGGCTTGTATTTACTTTTGCTATATAAGCTTTTACTGTGTAAGCAAATGACTACGGATGCAGCCTGTATGTGTGCAGGGAGTATCTAAGAAAGAAACAGATTAAGGACTGACAGATTTTCTAAGCTATTCAGCTATTTGTCAGTAACGAGTTACAAAAAGCTCCAACATCACAGGCTCTTCAGGGAGAGCTGCAGTAGGTATCTCTGTGCTGTGTTGTACTGGTAACATTTTCAGAAGACCATTCCTGTGTCCCTAATGCTTTAGGGTGAAAAGAAACATTAGTCATTTTCCTTTTCAATACAAGTAATTCAGTTCAAGGTTTAGCAGTTGCAGAGCTTTTAACACCAAAAGTTATTGATCGCTACCTCTGAAGAGATGGGGAGCTGCTTCATTATGGAATATAAACTTCATTATACAATATGATTTCAGAGAGTTGCCCTATATGACACTGTCTGCTCTATTCCTTGCATTCAGGTGTCATACCATTATGTTATCCACTCAGCTTTATCACATATTTATACGTTATGATGACAAAATCCTTGTACAACATCATATAGAGTAAACAAGCTTCTACTTTGCAAGCTCCCGAAGTGGGGAGGCTCTGACAGAAGCTGCTGGTTGGGTGGGAAACACAATCTTACCACTGGAGAAATTAATTTGCTGCATAATCACAATGGCCCTGTCAGAGCTGGAACTGCAATAGGGATAAGCTGTGCATCAGGGTATTCCTCTTTAACCTCTCCCATGCTTAGCTTTTAGAGTAGTTTTCTTCTCTTTACCTTTCCTGTTTTGGAAGGATAAAGAATGTTGCTAACGATTGTTGTATTTCCTCAGCCTGTGACAGATGTTCCCGTTATAGAGTGAGTCCACCTAACTGCCATAAACGCAAATCTGAATTAAATGCATGTATTTAAGGCCAACTGGGCTCCTCTGAAACACACATCTGCCAGCCAGTCACCATTCTGCTCCACCTCATGTGGGCCCTGATGTCACTATTTTACCTGATGTTTGTGTTTCACAGGCACTTTATGGCACAACATCAGAAACTGCTGTTTGGCGGCGTTGCGCAAACTATGTCAATGGCAACATGGAGAATGCAGCAGGACGATTATACGTAGAGGAAGCATTTGCTGGAGACAGTAAACATGTGGTAAAGATTTTAGCAAACTTAGCCCGTGTGCCATCTAAGCGTCACTTAATTGTCACTTACCACGCAGTTCTTCACACAGCTTTGATTACACTTTTTATTAACCTTTTCTGTATAGCAGGTTCACTTTATAAAAAACCTAACCTTCAGATTTGCTTCTCAGTCAGTGTACCGCTGAGGAGTAACAAGAACATATGTGCTAGGAGAGTCGCTCCTTTGCACCTAAGTACTTCTGCATTATTTGTCTTGAGCTGGCCTGCTTTCCAAGCAAATGACCACGGTGTGAAGTAACGTGTGAAATATGAAGATGACGTGTGCGTACTTGGAGGGAGAGAGGCATCTGTCTGCTCCGCTTGTTCTGTGAGCCAGCCTTGAGCCTAAAGCACCGCTGGCACGTTAGCGACGGACCGTGCACAAGCCAATACGCACGCCCGAGGAACAGCACCTACTGAAATGAACAGTCACTGCTTGTTCTTCCATCCTGCCAACGTGGGGCGCAGGGACAATCGGATATTTCTGTTTGTCTTCAGTCACACAGAAAATCACTGAAAATGAACCTGGAGTTAAGCCTTAGTTTCCTCCTATCACTCCTCCTGTAATCCAGCCTTAAGATGTACCATTCTTTGTGGTTGACATATACGCAATAATTTGATCAGATGCACAACATCCAGCGGATGGACACCTGAGATTTTTTGTAACCTAAGTGCATTGCCTTGCGAGCTCATGCCCATTCCCTTTCCTCCCACAGGACAGGTTAAAAGTACTACATAACTTAGCTCCAGATTTTGAGTGTGGCCCGTAAGCAACACACACTCAAGCAGCTCGTGCAGGAAAACCAAGTCCGTAATAAACAAACTATGACTGTGGAAAAATAATTGGATCATTTTATGTGGTTTTGTAACGTACTGCTGTTTTTTCCAAGGTTGAGGAAATGATTGCAGATATACGTGATGTTTTTATAAAAACCTTAGATGAACTTACCTGGATGGATGCAGAAACCAAAAAGAAAGCAGAACAAAAAGTAAGTTAAATCTTAAATATTGGCAATGTTGTGTATTTCTATAAAAATCAGTATTTCAATTGTTTTTCCTGGAAAAAATAAGCAGTAACATCTATCACACTTTTATATACAAAACCACATGTATTTGTGCTTATCTAGGCACAGCAGCTTATAGACTTCCTATATCAGATCCAGATTGCATGGGAAGGGGCCTCTGGGGAGATAAGTGCACACAATAGGAAGAATCTGTATACAAGATTAAGACTTTCCAGGCAAATCAGTGTCTAAGGGGCTAGATAATGAGTACCTACAAGAAAATAATGCTGAAAATGAGAAGGAATGATTTATGGTGATTTGACCAGCTATTAGGAGCGATAGGACAAAACCAGAAAGTCAAACCGCAGGCTGGCCGTCAGCAGTGAGTTCTCTTTTAAGGAAAGATGTAGCTTCAGACAGGTCATGTAAGTCTAGAGCAAGTAACAGAAATCAGTTGTAGAGAGCCCTGAATTGGGAGTGGAGCAACTGAAAGAACTACTTATTAAATCTGTATTTTGCTGCACTGTAGAAATAACAAAAAATCTTCAATTTTGCATCTTTAATGATAATTTATTATTAAATTTTAATTTTAAAAAAGCTTGGAAAATATCATGGTTTTATTAATTATAGAGCAGGACCTGGCATTTTCCTCCAGAATTTTGTGTTAGAAAATCTTAGAAAACAACATTTAAAATAACTATCAAAATATTACTGGTTCATCAAACAACTCTAGACTGTAAAGTTCGCAAAAAGCTACGATTGCAACAGACAGCTCAGACAGTCACAGCATCCAGTGAGCTTCTACTGATTCTGATGTGATCAGACAGTAAAGATGCAGTTATATGAACTGGTGCTTATGTACACTCCTGGTGTTATTTCCGTAGCTACACATATTGATCGGTTACAACCACACAGTAACTTCAAATCAGGAATAGCAGCATAAGTCAGGAAGTAAACTGAAAATCTTAAACCAATTCTGTACTGTGGTTAGATCTAGACAGTACATGTACAAAGTCTATGAAATACTTCCACTATTCTGAACAATTTGACAAAATGAGATGCAAACTGTCTGAAAAGTTAGGATCAGAAACCCACACACACTCCACATGTTGCTTATAATGGTCACTTGTTCATGGGAATAGCCTACATCAGAAAATTGTTTGTATAAATAATGTGATTTTACTCCTAAATTTATTAAGACGTATTTGTATGGAAATAGTAGAAAGAATTGCTAAAGAATCATTTGTTCTTTGGTTTTTTTAATTACTCCTGACATTGCCATCAAATACAAATCAATACTTAGCTATCAAAAGAAACTGAGCAAGGTTTGGGTTAAAAAACTTTGTTCAGGACTTCAAAGTTGAAATTTGGGAACGTTTAAATAAATTATTTCACTGCAGTGTAGATGTGGGAGCTAGTTCAGAAATATGGATACAGACCCAAACTGAGTCAAACTGTACAAATTTCTGGAAGTTTGTAAATGTGTTTTCCTATAATGTACTGAAGGTAAAAACCATCCAGTTATTAATTTTATTTCTATTTTAGATGCTGTAAAATATGTCAAATATTTCAGGATTTCTACTGTTTGTTTAAACCAGCCTTTGTACTCAAAAGCACAGTTGAAGTATGTTTGGCTGTCTTGTGCACATTTCTGTAAATTTACTTACAAAGGAAGGAACAGATTATACTTTCTAGAATTTTCCATTATTATGGTTAACCATAAACTTTACAGTGCTTTCAATGAATAAAAAATGTAAACAAAAACTATATATAATTAACATCCTGGTTTTTCTGCAGTTGCTTCCATATTTCATTTATTACATAATTTATGATTGATTTAAAAATATGGCTGGATTTGCTATGGCTATCAACTTATCTTGTCCCTAGGCAAGAGCAATTAGAGAGAGGATTGGTTATCCAGATGAGATCGTGACTGATGACAATAAGCTGAACAGCGAGTACCAGGAGGTAAGTATCCGCAATAAGCAGTATAACGAGAAAAGGGTCTTAAGAGAAAAAAAATGGTGAATTTGCCTTCTTGGCCAAGCCGAACCATATGCATCTGCACAGAATAACTCAATCTTGTGCTCAGTTGCACAGGTGTGAATAAGGATGTATTAAAAGCCAGTGTAGTACAGCTGGTCCGGTACAGATGGTGGTAAGTGTTTGATGGTCTTTCAAGGGAATGTGTAAATTCTAGAGGAATTATGCTAGAATAAAACATGGAGCCAATGGTGTTCGGTCCAGTATTTCTAAATCTGCCACAGATTGATGTAACACTGGTTGAAATGGATGCAAGTACACATAACTTAGTAACTGTGCCTATTTATCCATGGATTGGAACGAGTCCCTGAAGTATGGCATTGGATGACCCATATAATTTAAACTGCATCTGAGCTTTTTCACTGCAAAATGTGACCTCAGTGTTCTTCTACCTTGTAGGCTCATTTGTAAGAGTAACTCCATTAATGTATGTAGTATGCATGTATGTTCAGGCAGTATATGTCTTCAAAGTCAAAGTTTTAATTTTGAAAAATACAGACATATAACCAAAGTATGCTTTTTAAAACCATTTGAGCCTTATTCATGTGTTCTTTCTAAGGTGGCATTGCAGCTTACTAAGCTGGTAGCTACTGGTTTCAAGCAGGCAACTCCCAGAGGTTAGGGTCAAAAGCAACAAATGCTGAACTCCAGTCAAAATATATATATATATAAAAAGAGGGAATAAAGATCTCTGGAAAAAATTATACAGCTGCTAACATCTATCCAGCTACAATATCAACTCCGTGATGTAGCAGAGCACTGCAAACCAAGTTCTAATCGTAGATCAAAAAATACTCTTAAAGATGCATTGCTTAGCTCATCATGCTTAAGACTGGATTTTCCAGATCCACATGTCTTTTACTGCAAATCAGTAACACCACCACTAAGTACTTTTCCCTCTTTCTTTTTAGTTGAACTACAAAGAAGAAGAATACTTCGAAAACATTATTCAAAATTTAGTATTTACCCAGAAGAAAAGGTTGAAAAAGCTTAGAGAAAAGGTGGACAAAGAGGAGTAAGTATTTAAAAATACTGTGTATAGTCTTTCATCCAGTTTCCACAGGAAAAGGTACTTGGAGGGTAATCAGTGATGACTGAATGACCCCCCTTCTGCACTTTTTCCTCCATGAAGATGACAGATGAGAGGGCATTGCTCGTTTCTCAAAGGCTGGACCTACATTAGCAAGTAGGGCAAAGAAACTGGGAGATAGCGTAGAAGGTTAAGTATTCTGGAGTAGGTCTAGTCTGGTCCCTGAACTCCTGGAGTGGATTAAGTGGACTACTGGAGAGAAGCTTTTTAATTAAGTTCATCTGAAAAATGAATTTCATCCCTGAGAATTTCATTTCTCTTGCTCAGAGACTGCACGAGATAAGAGAAAGCATGATTAAATGAGGATAAGTGGGAATTTACTTCAGAAATGTACTCCTGCTCTGAATTAAAATACTAATGTAGAACGTAGATGTACCAAAAGACTGACACAGCACATGCCCTAGCTGTGCTGGCCACTCTTCCTGTCTCAGCTTTGACCATTTTGGAAGTTAATTTAAATCAAATCAGAAAAATTACTGTGGTCACCATAGACCATGCTAGCTTTGCAAGACTGTTCATTTGAACAAGGGCTACAGAGCTGGATTTATGTTGAGAAGAGTCTTTTCTTTTTTAGACTGTGCAAAGCTAATTCTCTTACCCTCTTCTCAACATAAATCCAGCTGAGGTCTTACTGCTGTCTTCAGCTACCCAATGGGAGGCGATACAGAGAAGCCTGACTCTTCTTGGAGATGCACAGTGATAGGACAAGTGGGAAGAGACACAAGCTGGAACAGGCAAAATTCTGACTAGATGTTAGGAGAAACTTTTCACCATGTGGGTGGTCAAACAAAACCCGGAGAGGTTGTAAGATCTCCATATCTCCATCCTTGGAGATAACTCAGATCTTGAATGGACAAGCCTCTAAGCAACCTGATCTAGTTAGCTTCACATGAGGCCATATGACTTCTAAAGGTCCTTTTTACCTAAATTATTCTATGATTCTGTATCTCTATTTTTAATTACTTTATCATTTTCATAGTGCTGTTCCAGACTTCTTTTTCAAGAAAAAAAAAAAAAAATCAAAAACTGTAACTGTTCAGAATCTTTCTAGTCAGTCACCTTGCATCTTCAAACTCCTGCCTTTTCAGAAGATGAAGTATATACTTCACACCTCTGGAATGACCACTACGAATTTTCCAAATACTATGTTATGACATAGGCTTTTCAGAACTATAGGCATTATTGTGGATAAATAGTTCCAACTGTTGCTTTTACTGTTCTGTATTTACAAATCATTAACTGAAAATTTATGTTTCACCTAACAGCCACCTCACTTCTGCTCTATTTTAAAATCAAGCTGTGTTTGGGCTTGGCTTGTTCAATTGCTTCAGCTTCATTTAACACAACTCCTGTTTTGTTCTCACAAATGTATATTAGTTAGGAGTAACTACCATAAGTTTAATTGCATTCAAAGATTACCTAAAGTGAGCCTGGAATATCAACCACAATTGATTATGCTCTGATAAGTTATAATCTATTCTGCAAATTAATCTTCCCTTAATCAGGCAATAGCCACTGTTAGAATACTTTGCATTGCTTATGACTGGCATATGCAATACAGTTATCAAATAGATCAATTACCATAGAAATTAATTATCATAAAATTAATTTCACTCAGAGAGCACAGAGCCAGGAAATACAGCTTCAGTTGTGTAAGGCCCAGCTATTTCATTTTGTAGAACTGTTATCTCATTTTCTCTGACATCTTTTCTGAAATATTATTAAATGTGTGCCATAATGACCCACATCAAAACACTAGGCCTGCTTGTGATCCTAGGAATTTCATTAGGTGATCACTGATTAAAGCCAGTAAAACTGTAAACTAGAAAAAAAGAATTAAAACTCATTATTTTCCCATGTGTTGAGACGGACCCAAAAGTAATGCTGAGAGCCATCATCAAGGAAAGTAGGTATTACTTAAACTAAACCGTAGGACTGTGAATCAAGCTGTGCCTCTGCCACAAGAGCTCATGCTGATCCCTGCATTCATTCCTCAAGAAATTGTGTTAAGGAAAAAATTGTAATAGTCTCTTATATGATACTCATAATGTACTGGTATTTGAGATAGCTGGATATATGACAAGGATAGGTGACACAGAAATCCTTTTAAGTAAACAGTCTTTAAAAAAAGTTCTGTTATCCCCAAATGTTTAGATACCATTATAACCTCACGTTCTGTGTTTCTTTTTCTTTACATGGGAAATTTTTCCTGTACAGTACTGCAGTATGAGTGGAAATAGAAACAAAAATTAAGTATCTTTGTTAATCAGTTTGAATAACGAAGGGAAAGGGCTACTAAAATGATTAAGGTATTGGAGTGTCTGACACATGAGAGGCTGAGCAGACTGGGGCCTTGGACTTGACAGTCATCTCCAAAAGTACCTTCCAACCTCAATTATTCTGTGATTCAATGTCTAGGTTTGTTCCAGTAATCATTAACTTTGCCATTAAGAACTGAAAATCTAACATTTATTTTTCTGTTGTTACTAGGTGGATAAGTGGAGCTGCTGTTGTCAATGCTTTTTATTCAGCAAGCAGAAATCAGATAGGTAAGGTTTACCAGCTTACTAACTGGATACAGATTTAATGGCCACATTATTTATACATATATGCATGTATTTTTAAAATCAAGAAGTGAAATGATCTTAATATGATGGGGATTGTAGAAGGGCCTCAGTGCAGCAAAATCAGAGGTTTCATTCATAGTGTTTTCATCTCCTCATGTTTTGAATTGCCTTTGTGCAGAACAAGGACAGAGGCTTGGGATTCACCCATGAAAGCAATAGCAGTGTGGAGCGGCTAGAAGTTTAATGACCAAGTAAATTTGGTGGCCCCAGCCTTTTTGTTCTAAGGGATGAACAGGGAGTACAGGACCACTTTCACCTGAAGGACACACTGACTAAAAGAAAGTCGTGGAACTTCCTGCCATACAGAACACGTGGCTTCCATTCCTTACAGCCCCTTCACAATCCCTTTGTACAAGCTTATTTGGTATGGCTTTGGGAAGGGTGTTGAATTTCACCCTGCTTGTTAATGAATACACCAGTTCATTGACTGAACTGCTCCGAATCCCGTAACATTTCACATGGTAGGCCAAAATCACAGAGCCCCATACCTGTTCCCATGAAGCAGTACTCTTTGCTTTCCCGAAGGGTTATTACAGAGAGTGAGACCAATCTAAAATGTCCTATTATCCAGGCAACAAATGTTCTGCATTCAATGATGAAATCATGCTGGACTATTAGTGCAAAAACCAGCTTATTCTCATTTCCTATTTCCTCATCGCCAGCATTTTCCCATACACAGCTGTAAGATCCAGTGCTCATGACAGACTACAGCGACCAGCTTCACGTGAGCTGTGCTGAGCCAACTGTCCCATGCTGCATGGGACCAGGAACTTAGGGGGTCATTGCTTCAGGAGCATCTGGTCGCTGCTCCAGAGCTGCTTCAAGTCCCAAGCAGACAGAAATCTTACGTGGCAATTCACCACCTTCTCTATGTAAAAATAATCATGACAGTTGGAACAAAACATTTGGGGCTCAATGAAATCAGCATTTCCCAAAAGACAAAGTTTACTCAGAAAATCTCTCACCAGCTATCTGTCTGCAGCACTTCAAGATCTAACTGTGGACCACAGTATAGAAGAGCTCCATACTACTGTTACTTTAAGTAGTCCCATTTAAATTGCAGGTCTTACCTATTAGCTATCTTAAATGCAAAGTTAGAATCATAGAATTGTTTAGGTTGGAAAAGACCTTTAAGATCATCCAGTCCAACCATTAACCTAACACTACCAAGTCCACCACTAAAACAATTAGAATTGTTTAGGTTGGAAAAGACCTTTAAGATCATCCAGTCAAGTTCTTACATACATTCTTTTACATATGGCTTAAGAAAAGTTTAAGACATTTTGAGGCATCCTTAATTGCTGTTCTCAAGATCTAAAGTCTGCCAGATGACTTCAAGTTCGCTGTCTGATGTGTCATTTAATTCTGCTTCTTTTGTGTTGGAAAAATGAAAATGGAAACCTGGTAGATTAAACCAAGGAAAAAAACAAATTTAAAAAGTAAGAGAGAAGTTCAGTACAACTTTTTGTAATGCTTTTGAGTATAAATATATATAATTTGATATCTCTAATGTCAGCCTACCCAAAACCATCCATGGTTAAAAATAACTTAAAATAGAAGAGAAAGCATTAAAATGCTTTTAAAGAAATAATAAAAAAAAATCCATTATAGCTAAAGATTAGAACTGCATGGAAGCACTGAGGTTTCTCATCTTGTGGCCATACCAGCTCTCTTCACAGTGGTGCAGTCTTTCAAGAGTCACAAAACATTTTACAACATTAATTATGCCTCACAGGATTTGTCATACCCCTTCTGCAAATATTGTTATTATCCACATTTCATAAATTGCAGTGTCCTTTCTAAGCCATTAGTGAGGTACTATGATCCATGTCTAACTCCTGAAAACAAGTCTCTCAAAACCAAAAAAACCTTGTCCTGCAGGGCTCTGCACAGAAATGAAACAATATTTTTTGTTTATTTATGAAGGCTTCCAAAGAAAATATTTGGTGGAGACATTATTTTCATTGCCAGGGATGAAATTACCACTTCTTTCTAATCTTCAGTAATGGCTTCTGATATTGTCCCACTTCCTTTATCAAACAAACCATTAAATGAAGGTGAAAGATGTCAGGTACTCTCTTCCACTGGGCTCTTATAATAGCAGCGTCAAAAATAATGTCATTGCTCTGCAAGACTGCCACTGCCAGCAGGACTTCCAGTAGCAGCAGAGGTAATCGGACGCTTTATTTTGGGACCAAGTGTCATCCTTTATTACATGGCAAAAAGCACTCCCTGCTGTTCAGTTTGCAAGCACAGCTGCACTAAGCCAAATGGATGCAGTTTTCTTCCAATTTTTACAGGGTACGTTTAATACAGCATACTAGCATTTTCACAGTCAGTGTTTTCTGTGCAAAAAAATAAAGTTCATTTAGCACCCCTGATCACATAAGTCTTGATTCTATGAGTGCAGGTTTAAAGGAATAGCATCAGATTTATAATGGAAGAAACAACAAACTAAGCCAAGCTTTCCAAAAAGGATTTTTTGCTGCAACAGGCTGAAGCATGGGGAAAAGGCCTGCGTGAGATATAAAGTGTAACAGAATATTTTATAGAATTTTTTTTTTAGTTCTTCATTTATAAAAAGATCACAATTGCAACATGATTTCTTTTTAACTAATTTGTTTCCTAAAAGCCTAGAAAAATGAGCACAGAAGTGAGTGAAAAGAACTTCTTTGTTCCAGTTCTTTCATTGCCAGCTTGGCCTATTTTTATTGATTCTGGTGGGAGTTACTGATATTTTCAGTGGAAGAATAAATTCCTCTATCTCAGATTGATTTGTGGTGGGGGCAATGATCAAATAATTCATTCTTCTAGGGCAACACCCTCCCACTTTGCATGACGTTGTGAGGTTTATTTAATAATGATATAGGAGTCTGAGAATGCCAAGTGCTGTAAATTGGAAAAGTAAACTGTTTTTTTCCAAAGTAAAATAGTAAGACAGACAAAGTAAAAGCTGATCATGATTTTGCAAGTGTCTGAAGAGCTATTCTGCTTTACCCTAGGCTTGAGGGGGTAGGGGAGCAGTCCTGCTGATCTGTTCCTACTATCCTACAGCCACTGCCATGTGTCAATTCACCTATTGTTGTTGGTAAATCTGAGGGAACAGCGTGACTTTGGTAGAAGCCCATAAAAATGGTCTGTTCACACTGCGCACATAGGGTAATGAGGCAGTGCCTTAATTGTGTTGTGGGGTTTTTTTGCAGTCTTCCCTGCTGGCATTTTGCAGCCCCCTTTCTTCAGTGCATCCCAGCCCAAATCTCTGAATTATGGTGGCATAGGCATGGTCATCGGTCATGAAATCACACATGGTTTTGATGACAACGGTAAGGCACTGAGTTTCTACTTACAAAACTTACAATGCACAGAATGTTTTACATGCTTTAGTGCTTAATTGTTGCAGGGGCAGATAAAACGAAGATGAATTTTCCATATATAAGACCAAATCTGGATTTCTGAGGCTTTACAGTAGTGTTCCCCATGATGATTCCCAAAAGCGCTTTCCAAAGAATCCCACAGACACTCCTGTAGCTGCTAGGCTGCAGCAACAGCCCAGGATGCGGGCCTGCGGCACACAAGGGCTTTTAATTTAGTTGCTGGTCACTTACTTTTCCCAAAGGCTACATGAAAACCCATCATAGACTACACGTGATTGTGAACAGGATGTGTCACTAGGCTGGCACAGGTGTGAACCCAAGGGTCTAGCTATCAGACCTGCTGCCCAGCCACATCGATCATTTCTAGACCTGCACTATGATCAATCCAGCACTGAGTCACAGGTCAGAACCATACCAGGCTTCCAAAGAGAGCCTTAATCCCATCTTCTGATTCAGTCTGAATCCGTTTGTTTTCCTCCTCTGCTGAAATACAGCCCTCTTAGCAAAAAAAAAAAAGTGATTATGAGTGATTATACTTACTTGCTACCCCTCTTACTGCATCAAAAACCTTTTCTCCTGCATATGTAATTCTGTTAATGTATTATTACAGGCAGAAATTTTAATGAGAATGGAGACCTCGTAGACTGGTGGACTGAAGAATCGGCACGCAATTTTAAGGAGCTATCCCAGTGTATGGTGTACCAGTATGGAAACTTTTCATGGGACCTAGCAGGCGGACAGCATGTATGTCATACTTATTTGTAACTACCAATGTTATTTTTAATGAGAAAGCACATGCAAACCCTTATTCACATGAATGCTCTCTTGGCTTATGGCCAACACTGTCCTTATGCCTCTACACACACAAAAAAAGGCAAGAGAGATTCTTAGAAAATAGTGATGAAAACTCCACACACACACTGACTGTTCTGAAAGAGGCAGGATTTATGTTCTGAATGAGTGGAAGTCCTAGAAGCCTTTTGGGCCCTCAAATGTTCTTTTTTCGTTCCACAGAGGAACAGAAAAAAAAATGTGGAAGTTTGAACCTCATTTACCCAAATCTTGTTGCACAAATAATACATATCCCCATCAAAACAAATCCTGCCTGCTGCTTTCCTTCACTCAAAAGTTTCTTGCTCTTTCCAAGAGAAACATCTGGACTATAGAGCAAAAAGGTCTGAGAAGAATCAGGGTACAGCAGGAGAGGAAAAGATGATATGCAGATTCAGGGGAGGCAGGCAATCTAAATGTGACTGCATTTATAGCATTCTGCAGTTAAAGTTATTAGGCGTTCAGGGCTGCGTCTGTGTCTGGAAGCCCTAATTTCACCAGAACAGTTAGCAGGATCAGGTCTGTTCTGTGTCTCAGCAAGATCAATATTCCACTAACTCACAGGAACAGGTGACAGTGACATTATAATTACTCATACTGAACAGGAGACCAGTCCTGTTCCTGTTAAATGCAAGCTGCAAAACTGCCACTGGAAGGAGACAGCCCCGTATACGTAACCCAGCACTGCATAGCACGCCCTTTCAGGGGTGACCAAACGCCCTGCTAACGCACCTGCGCTGTCTCTAGTACGCAGCCCAGCTTTAATCGTCTAGAGACAGTTTAACCGTCTGCACTCTGCTCCCACCCTGCTGCCATAGAGATTTTACTGGCCCAGGCTGGCAGTGCACATACTTCAAAGCTACAGATAACAAATTTCAACCACAGTTACTAGCTGAGCTGCCATCATTCTGTCAGCCAAGGTACATACGGCACCAGTGCAGTTTTTAGTTCTCAGTCCTGCATCTTCCACACAACAAGCAAGTGTCAGCCCCTGGATCATTGCTGCCCAGTAAAGAAAGGAAAGCACTTCACTGCAGGAGCACTCAGTTGCCCTGCATTGTGGAAGACCGCTTAGTTCTAACATCCACCTTGTTTATTTTGGACTTCACTGGAGAACCACATGCAGCACTGAACTGTGCCACCACCTGTTTTTCTGTAAAGGAACAAAATTTCTCTTGGATGGGACCTGCTAGAGTTAAGTGGCGAATGAGAAGACACAAGAAGCTATTTCTCTGACTACTACTGTCTGTTTTTTTTAGAAGTTGACAATATATTCTGTCACACAGAATAGGGAAGAGATAAAACTTCCAGCCCTGAGGTTTTCCTAATCTGTGTGCTAAATTGTTGGGACTCATAGAGAGACCACTGAAAATAGAGAATAATATTTCAACATACTTTTCTGTCATTTTTTCACACATTAAATTCAATCTAATTATGATTCTAAGTTTTGCAGCTTTGAATATCATAGCCCAATATCTTGGGCTAAAGGTAAAAAATATAATTTTTTTTAAAAAAAATTACAGATTCTTCATTACCAAAGCTTCATGATTTTTAGTGATACTTCACTGACTTACAAATACTATAACAGCTAAATAGATATCCTCTATGTATCTTGCTACTAAAGAGCTACCTAACTTGCCTAATATGCAGGGAAATACTGACTTTCTAGCAGATTTGTTGATGTCTGTTAATTGATAATTTCAACTATTTGGAGTTTGGATTTTCAGTTGTTTCATAGACTATACAGACAGATTCTGCCCACTTCCTCTAATTGGAACCGTAGTTAAGAAGCTGAGGGTTAAAGACATGGAGAAAACAGGAAGAATGAATGAACAATGACTAAGCATCAGAAAATCTGGGTAAAAGAGATATGAGATCCTAGAAAGCTGCCTGTAGGGGAAGGAAGAGGATTAGGGAAAAGAATAGTATCCGCATGGATTTTGAGACAAGGGAGGCAAAGACTTTTCAGAGACGTTGACATAATGTTTTGCTAAAACTTCAGATTTTAATGGAATTCTTGCCTTCAAAAAGTGAAAAACACACAAAGTTTGGCATTACAGGTCCTGGACAAGCTCTTCTTTTCAGCAAAATATACTTTTCCTTTCTATTTTACAGCTGAGTGGAATCAACACACTAGGAGAAAACATTGCTGATAATGGGGGTATTAGACAAGCATATAAGGTAAGTGTCCATTTTTCTATTTTAGCTGAAACCATCATAGATTAAGAAAATTAATTTCAGAGCCTTTGAAGAAACAACCTGATTTTTGTGTTAGGGACAGGACCATACCTGTTGCATCATCGAGGCATGGTTTAAAACTATTGACCAGCTGTTGCATTTCTTTCATCCTGTTGATTATTTCAGGATACACATTATCTGTTCCTAGTGCACTCTTTTTCAGCTGACTTCTTTCTCTCCATTTTTTTTTCATTCTTTCCTTTTGTGAATAGGGAATTTGTAGAATGAAAACATTTAATGAATCACACTTGGATGATCACCTAACTGAACTGATGACACTGAGCAGCTGACTGCCTCTGGCTATCTGTCTTCACCAGCTTTTGTATGCCAGGAAGGAGGGACAGAATGACTTTCTTCTGACCCATAAGCAGTCTCTGCCTACATGAAACACTATTTATTCACTGTTCAAATTATCATCTTGTACAAGTGACTTGGGTCCCCTGTACAGATATCCAAAGATGTCAGTAACATCTGGACTCCCTGCGCTAAGCCCTCCATGGGCGTTTGTATGCTTTTTGGCTTTCCTTCCATTCTCTTCCTGAAATAGGTACTTAACTCCTTAGATTGGCCAGCTTTGAAAGTAAAAGCAGCAGAGGTCTTCTCTTTGTGAATGCAGGTTGGGAGGTGAGAAGCAAGTCAGCTTCCCTATGAACTCTTCTTGTTACCTGCAAACCTGATGGCTGCAGGCCTTAATAACATGATCCTCCCTCTCCTTCCCTGAATGCCTTGTTCTATGGCAAAACATTCAACAGCTGGGGAGTGCTGTCATTCCTCAACAAAGTGCCCACTGGGATGCGTGGGCCAACTCACACTTCTCAAAGTTATCAGCACAGCTTCTGCAAAGAAAGCCATCAGCAACACTTACTTCCCTAGAAATATACATTTGAGGGCAAATACAGTTATTAATGAGAGTTTAAAGAATGATTTGGAAGCCTCAAAGAGGCATCAGTATGGCATACTAGATTAGTCTGATCTTCAATTACTGGAACATTTGTGCATTTAAAAAAAACAAAACAAAACAAAACAAAAACCAAAACAGTACAAAGCCACAAAAAGGGATACTCTTTCTGAAAGGAATGGGAGTAGCCAGAGCAAAATTAGGTGGTCAGAAGTATTACAGAAAAAACAATTAGATAATCATAATTATTACGACATCATATAAATAGTAAAAAAAGGTCCAAAAGGAATCTTGAGGTCATCTAGTCCATCCCCCGCCTCCTAGCAGGTAGAATCAACCATTTCTGTATCATTCAAACATACCGTAAGAGAAGTTCCGCCACCTCCTTGCTGCAGTTCGAGTGCCATTATGTCTTTGCTTTCAACAGTGGAAACAGAGAGCAGTCTGCTCCTTTTCTGCGACCTTTGACGTATGTGAAGGCTGTTACATACTTGAAGGCCCAGACTTCTCTTCTTTAGACTAAACAAACCCAATTCTCTCAATCTTTCCTCATAGGTCATGTTTGCTAGACCTCTGCTCATTCTTGCTGCTTTCTTCTGGGCTCTCTCCAGTTGGTCCACATCTTTCCTGAAGTGCAGTGTCCAAAACTGGACAGAGTGCTCCAGCTGAGACCTGGCCAGTGCCAAGCAGAGTAGAAGGATTACTTCATGTATCTGACATAAGACACTCCTGTTTATACATCCCAGTATGACACTTGCCTTTTTTGCAGTATCATGGCACTGTTGGCTCTTGTTCAGCTTGTTACCCACTAAAACTTCCGGAGCCTTTTCAGTAGGCCTGTCAACTGCTCATTCCTCCACTTGCACTTGTGCACTTGTGCACTTGATTGGCTTTACTCATGCAGTAACTTGGCACTGACTTCAGTCAGAACATTTCTCCAATTTGCCAGCGTCTTTCTATCAGTATGATACGCTAACACCACATTGTTTGACACATGGTCTTCATAAGAAACATGAAAGCAGCCGTTCTTCCTATAGAAAGGTTTTAAAGTCTTCTACAATTTGTTTGGGGGGGGGAAGAACCAAACCACAATGAAAAAATCTACTTTTCATAATGCAACATTAGATAATTGATAAAACTGGTTTCTTCTCCCTGCAGAATCCATTTTGTGGTAGTAAAATTGGATCCTGGAACCCTGCATTGTATAAAGGGAAACCGTATCTTACCATAAGCATTTTATTTTAGACTCTAACCCAACAGTTGGCAAAAAAAAGATGAAATACATTTATGTGATAAACATTTGAGAGAAAAAACCCTGTAAACAGGATAAATACATGTGCTCTGTAGAATTGGAGAGAACAATGACTTTTTGCCACAGCTGAAGCTTTTTACCCCACATCTCTCAAGTCTAATGGAAAGGAGGAGGACGAGAAGAGGGAAAGATGAACAGCTGGGGGAGGAATGAGATGAACAACTGGGGGAGGAATGAATCCTCTCATCACATCTTGATTGTCTTGGAGAGCATTTGTGCCTCCTTGAGCAGCAGCAGGCTGGGTTGCCCAGTGCAGTCACTTAGCCAGGGATGCATGCACAGGGAATCCCCAAATCATGCAGGACACCCCAGGTATGCTCATTTTGGGACTGTGCCTTAGAAAGCAGCACAGCGGCGTGCTTTTCCATGCAAGGTACATACTGAGGGTAGCTGGCAGTGATGCCTGACCCACAGAACCTGCAGGAGACAGAGCTGCTGCGGGCGAATCTTTACACGGACAGCTCTGAACCCCGATGATTTGGAGGCTGGTTTAGCACAGAGCTTTCTGATGGCTCACTACCCCTACCCCTCAGCTGATGTCACAGAATCTCACAGTCATTTCCATTCCAGAACACATTCTACTTTCTTAACACACAACCACCTTGCTTTATGCAGTCATTAATTAACCCTGTGAAAGGATTTGCTAGGTAAATATGTAAGAGTCCAATGGAATTTAATACATTAACTATTATAAAGCTTAAGGAAGGAGAGTGCTAGCTCTCTGTAGCTACTGTATTTCAGAACACAGCTGTCCTCCTTTGCGTTCTTAATTTATTCCCCTGTAGAAAGGTGCAGAGTTAAGCAAATACTTTGTTATCTGGATGTACCCGTCTTACTGAAATTACTCCATTAGCGTTGCCTTCTTTTTGCTACAATAAATCGCCTGCCTTAAGCCTGTTTCTCTTACCGTTTATTCCACTATAAGTTGGGCAGCTTCACTAAACCTGGTGTAAAATACTACTGTAAAGCCCATTCAATGAGAAAACTGTCTTGATCAGGCCACTGGTATCACACTACTAAGAAATGGCCCTGTCTTTTCCTGTGTAAAGGTGGCATGCGGTAAGATGAACGGCCAAGGTAGTCCATGATCAGTTATGGCAAAGAACCCATGTTCTTCCTTGTCATCATTTCATTTTGACTGTCTGGGCTGGAAATTGTAACTTTTCTACTCAATTCATTCTACAGGCCTATGAAAACTTTGTGAAAAAGCATGGAAAAGAAAAACTCCTTCCTGGTCTTAAAATGAACCATAAGCAGCTGTTTTTTCTGAACTTCGCACAGGTATTCTATACTTCTTGACTGAAGGCTTTGAAAATCACACTGAGTTACACTTTAACAGTAAGTCAGAAAGAATAGGCTGACTTTCACAGATTTACTAAGAGCTGGCTGAGTTGCTAAGCTGAGCAGCGTTCACTACCAAGTAGTGAAAATAAATCGTTGTTAGGCAATTTTTATCTTCTCTAAGTAAATTCATTCATCCATGAGTAAGTCTGGTAGAGTTTCTTACGCCCAAGACAACAGATACTTTTTTTTTTTTTTTTAAACACACATTTTTTTCTCTCTATGTTTTACTGTGAAATTTATTCTCACAGAATTAAATATTAGTGAAATGACAGCAGGTCTCTTCCTGGACAATCTTATGGCTAACAAATGCTTTCCTTTGTTATGTGTGTAGGTATGGTGTGGAACGTACAGACCAGAATATGCAGTGAACTCCATCAAAACTGACGTGCACAGCCCAGGCAAATTCAGGTCAGCATATATAATAATCTTCAGTGCAATTCCTAGGTGCAACACAGCTTTTAGCTACAGAATTTAAAGAACCCTACACAAAAGGCTAGTTGCACTTACCAGGGTAGATTTAGGCATATACACACATACAGGCATAGCGCACTGAAGATGGTTAAGAGACAGACAGACAGACAGACTGGCCCACTAGGACCCCCAGCCTTAGCATAGCTCAGTGCTGACAGACACAGGCACAGTCCTTCCCAGGCAGCTCCACAGGCAGCATAAGGCTGTGGGGGAGTTGTCCTCATCCTTGAGACAATACAACTTAATTCTGTCCACACTACTGAGGAGCTCTGAAGAGTTGTCATCACAGGATACAAACACCATCACCTGGCTGTTACCAAATGTGCGTGATTGTTACAGCAGAGTCCCAGTGACTGTGTCTGGAATCCAACGCTCTCCCGAAGGCCCCTGGCTCCCACAGTAGCTCCTGGTAGGGTTCTCAAAGACCAAAGGCTATGGATGGACTTCTGTCCTCCGCTGAAGTCACAGGTAAAATCTCCAGTTAATCAGTGGAGTGCAAGGATTTTACTCTTCCAAGCATGGAGAAGAATTCATTTTAAACAGTAATACTGACACGAGAGAGAAAAGACCTTCTGTCAATAGCCTGTTCTGTCATTAGAATGAGGAACGCCTTTGCCATCTAGAGCTAGAAAGATGTTCTTCTGTTCCAACAGAGCAGATTGGCCTCTCTGCGCTGTTTCGTTAACAGCATTACTCGTGACGCCTGCAGCTCAGAACTGGGGCTCCGCCGTACCCCAGGTGTTACACACGGTCACTAGTTGTTCTCTCTTGCAAGAGTAACAGAAGTGAGTTTTAGGTGGAATATCGCTGCCCCTCAATCAGTAAAACTTGTATGCTGTGGTGCAATAAGCAAATTTGTATATTCTGCCTTGTGTACTCAGTCAGCCTTCCCAAGAATAGGTGGGCTTGAATTCAGCAGAGTCATGCAGGAAACTTGGCTGTTCAGCGTGGAAGTCTTTGGGCCAGACTAGGATCTTTTCTTTTTAATTTAAGTCAGAGCAACCTATTCATCAGTAGTGTAACAATGTTTTTGCTCTAATAAATTTGTTTGGTCAAATGCCATGAGATCAAGTAGTAATGTAGACATCACAACATCTCTGTTAGCTTTGAAAGGCTGTGTCATCTCCAGGATTCATGTACACAATAGCTGATTTCTCTCCCGATACAATTCAGTACATTAATTCCAGTATCTTTCTTTCAATGGCTTTTCACCAAAGAATTATTTTGTTTATCCCACATACTCAAATATTTAGTGAAAGCAGTGACTGTTCCTTCAATTGCTACTTGACTGGCATTTCGCTGTGGGTGGTTTTTGTACTATCTGCAGATCTCTCCCGGAGGCAGTTTATGCATCAAGTCCTACAATCAGCCGAATTTGGTCGCAGTGCTAATGAGGCTCTGCAGCAGTTCTTCAGAACTGTGCCTCCTCTTTGCATATCTAATTTGGATGAGTCACGAGTCCTTTGAAGTTCACTAGTTCAGCATCTTTGTGTAATTGTATTTGTGTATATCTTAGATATATCACATCATGTATTGTGCCGTTTTTACATCAGTATGAAAGGCTAGATAAACTTTATGTGGAATTGCACAAATATTAATGAGAAACCATATTAACGTGTTTAGAATGAGAAATAATTTTCAGGATGAGGCCCCCCTAAGAGCTCTAAAATAGAAAGCATTTCAGTACACGAGACATACCCACAAAATTACTGCCTAATGACATAGTATTAAAGTGTCACAATGCCTCCCAACATGCCTTTGTTTTTTATTGGGGGGTGGGATTTTTTGTTGTTTGTTTTCACACCTGCTACACTAACTGCAGACCATTTCTTCTTACAGGTAGGGCAGGCCGCTCTTCATAAAAATTGTTAATTGCATAGTACAATTTTAGTTTATGGGCTAACAACCCTGAGTACTGGACAGGTAGAAAAGTAAGTTAACAGAAAGGTGCCTTAGATCAGGTAGTTGTCAAAGGCAGGCAAAAAGGAATCTGTGTCTGAGCGTTAACATGCAAAATTAATACATGGCAAGTACAATAACAGATGCAGGTCACGCCCTGCTTACGTACCAAATCCCTGTAGTTCTGGGGATATTAGTAAATGAAGCAAGATTCCTATCCCTCCGCTGTTTTATCTGCTTGTTAATAACAAATGTAAGTAGAGTTTTATTACACCCAAAATACTTTTTGCTGTTTCTGGCAGTTCTAGTCCTTAAAAGCAATGAAGCGCTGCTAGATCACTTTGATGGATGACATTTTGTAGTCATTTCTCTGCACTGTCTCCTGTGCTGCTGCTGGCTCCTGAGACCACTGAGCAAATAGTCTTGCGTTTGATCTCGTAGAGCCAGTCAAATCCTTGCAGATCCTTCACCTCAACTTCTGTGGACACTTCCTGGTTCTGTTGAATCTAATGATTAAGATTATTCAGAGCATAATCACAAATTACTCAAAGAAACAGTTCTTCAAGTAATTCCTGGTCCACAGTCAATGTGTAACAGTATCTGTTTGGACATTTGAAGCTGTTTTCCTGCAGAGGATGTGCATGCTGTCTTTCCATTCCTGAAGGAATGAGCAACTCCTAGCCGTTATGTTCACATATGTTCACAATTACACATAGAAAACCTACTTTAGCTGGAATGTCCTCATATTCACTTGAAAGCTGTTCTTTGTACGAGTCTTTTTTCAGGAAACTCATTCACTCAAAACATTTGTGGAGAATGCCCAGAGAAGCAGTATGATCTTAGTTAAAACTTGATTGGTATAAAAATGTAAATGAACGTTCACTGAAAAGTTGTACCACAGTCCTCTACCTCAAGGTCTTGCTTTCCCTTTACCAAGAAACTTGTCAGCAAAACACAGCTGAAAAAATTCTCAGTGAAAACTAATGACAAGCAATAAACCTGTTCCTAGGGAAATAAATGGAAGTTTTGTGAGAGCCGGTAATGAAGAAGGGACAGGTTTGGGGAGTTGTGGTAGGGACCACACAAACTGAAAAGAGAAAATACAGCCGCTTGAGGTGCAATGGAAGCGACAGTCAGGGTGCAGAAATATGGGTGTTTTGCACAGTATGTTGAGGTGACACAAGAAAAGAAGTTACAAAATGTGAGTCATCTTGTTTGTTTTAAGCAAAGGTAAGCCACAATGACAAGACGATGTTGTTTTGTTTTAAAGGGTCATAGGATCATTGCAAAACTCTCCGGAGTTCTCTGAAGCCTTTTCATGCACCAAGACAAACTACATGGATCCTGCTAAAAAGTGCCGAGTTTGGTGACGGAACTGTAAACCTTGCATCTCGAGAAGCTTTCCAGAAAAAGAGAAATTTTGAACTAATTTTGAGCAGGGGAGGAGGGAAGAAAACTGAGGGAAATATGCTAGAGTAGTCACTGTAATTCTTAATAAACAGGCAAAAATGAAAAAAAAATTTTAAAAAAATCACACATCAAGACATCAAATGAAGGACAAATGCCAATACAGCAGTCAGCTGCTCTAGCTGATCGGCTGCTTTTCCTATCACTGAACCCTGTAGAATGTAAATCACTTGCCAGTGTACAGTAACATTTCACTTGTAGTTAATCCTGTTCCCCACTGGCCAGCGGCTTCTTAGATTTTTTTTTTTTTTTAAAATGTCAACAGTATAACACATTATCTCCCACTGGTCGGTGAATGCGTATTTCTGATTAAGCAGAGGAAGGAAATACTGAGTAACACAGTTTTAGACATCATCATGTGATAATGAGACAACAGTTTATATCCTACGTGTCAGACTTTGTACCCTCTGCTGTTACGATAAATCTGTTCTACCAAATGTTTTCATTTTTACTTGAAACCATTTATACAAGAGGAGTCCAAAGACCTGCTGTAATTAAGTAACTTCTCACTAATTATTCCAGTGTGTATTATCTGAAGTCACTATTTACAACAGTTTATTTACTGCTTTCCAGCCAAACTGAAATGGTAGGTAATTTATTACTGGTTGAACATATAATCTGCAAGATTGTGATCAAAGACCCTTTCACAGTTTTCTAAGCTTTTTCTTGCTTTCTCTAAAGTTGGTCTTTTTTAAAGTTTCTAGTAATGTATAAATCACAGTTTTTATATTGAAATCTCAGCTACACTTTTGACTTGAAGTATTGTAATATATTTTATCAGTGGCTGCATAAAACTGGGAAATTTGAGTAAAGCATGGTATTAGGTGATAAGACAAAGTCTACAAAACTGAGCTCCCAGTGGAGCGCACCGATATTCAAGTGTTCAGGCTGACTTTCTCAGTGTTTAGGGTCTGATCCTGCACATAATTTGTACATGTTCTGATCGACGTCAGTCCTCACATCAGTAAAGCTGCACAGCTGACTGCAGAATGGAGCTTTAAGTATGAAGGTAAAAGGCTTTAAATCTGCAGCGATATGTATTAAACATCCTCATGCAGATTGCAAAAGAACTTACTGCTTTGTATATCAAAGCAAACAGATTTCCACAAATAACTACCAGCTGACTGCTACAATAGGTATATTTAAAAACCTATGTTCCTGTTAGCTTTCTGAGTTTGTCATCTGATAAAAACATTTTGATAATAAACTGAAATTATGAGCCAAATGCAGTGTGTGTTCTTTATATGAAGGATGTAAGTACAAAAAAAACATATTCTCTGCAAGTAAATTTCTATACTTGCCCTGAGCACCACACTTCAACACCTATAACAAATGACAAAAAAGAATTCACAACATTTTGTTCTAGTTTAAAAAGCAGATCTCAGTAGGTTATTTAGTATCCAAGGAAATCACACCAAAATTGCCTGCAGAAAACTTCCTCTTCCAAGACTTTTCCCCAACAGTATGTTAAGGAGAGCAGAAAATAGACTCCTTTTCATCAATTCCCAGCTGGAAGAGTCACACTTAATGCGAGAGCAATAGCGACAGCTCCCCATGGCAGCCGGTACAGCTCCCTTGCTGCTGGAGGCGCGGTCGCTCTACCCGCAGTTTCTCGGGGGCAACGGAAGGATCCCACTTGCGGTGCACCGAGAGACTGCGAGGCCAGCGGCGGCCACAAAGCACATTCCTCCAGACCCGCCCAAAAGCTCCTGACGTCCAGGGCACGGGGCCTCGCGCCCACGCCGTTCTCTGTCTAGTCACTACTGCCTGGGAGTCGCTCCCGACCACAAAGGGGAAGCAGAGTGAAAACCAGTAGAAGTTAGAGAAAAGCAGTAGAATAACCCACAAAGTTGTGTTGACAGGGTTTTTACCTCTCTGTGGGGCCCCTTTCTTCACTCCTCTCCATGTATTTGCCATAGAACTTTCTATACTCTTCATCATCAACCTGATGCGTCCAAATGAAGCTCAATCCTTTACAAATTCAGGCCCATAAAACTATGAAACGGGAAGTACCACCATCCCCATTTTACAGCTAGACACAGTAACACTCATCAAGGACAAAAGAAATTCGGGAAGTAACTAAAACTAGTAGATCACTAAATACAGAGTAAATAACATTGACTGTAACAATCAATAAACACAGAATCGCTAATAATTAGTGAATAGAATAGCAAAAAAAAGCCCTGTGAGCAAGTCGGTACAGGCGGGTCAGTTGTAATGTCTGTTCAATAGTGCATCAGCAAGCTTGCTGACACACCTCGCGTTTCATTTGCCTGCTAGACAGACAACAAACTGGAAGAGCACATTCATTGCTGGAGATACAGATTCCTCCCTGTGATCTGGAACAGCAGGCACACTGCACAGTGAAGGTTTTTTCACTTCCGAGCGACCTACACGCACATAGAAATAGTTGCACCTTGATTCACGCTAGCTCCTGATGGAGCAGGGAAGGTGAATTCATGTACACTACCAAGGATACGGTCATCTCTTTCACTGTCACAGTAAGAAATAAAGCTACCCTTGGGGAAAGTATCCAGCAACGCTCCGGCCAGAGCGGCAACAGATACTCTTTAAGGAAACAAAACACAGACACATCTGACAGCTTGGCTTTAGACACACCACTGAACTCGGCTTTTACATTCATGAGTTCTAAGACTCTCTTCCCAAAACCCCCAGTTCATCACTGCTTCCCCCTCCAGTCTATTTTCTTACAGACCATCCAGCTGTAACAATGAGCTAGGAGTTTGGAAAGAGGTGTGTGAAACATAAGCCAAACATAATGCATATGAGCAGAAGAAAGGCAAAGTTTCCCTAGTCATTGCTGACTGCACAGAGGGCCAGAAATACCCTTCTTTCATTACATGAAATCACGAAATCAAGTGCATGGGCATCTAGGAAGCAACCTACAAACTCTCCATGGTTTGATATGAGTGAGAAAGGTTTAAAGAAAAAGGACCTGGTCGATGTAGGAACCTAAATAGTCAAACTGTGCGTACATGTGCCCATGCATCTGTATCGCCTCCAAAACATCCCCCGAGAGACCCCTCCTTCCTCCTCCCATCACACAGCTCTAGGGGCTACGCTGGCACAGGCGCAGCCTGCGGGTGCAAATGAGGCTGCTCATTTCCTCATTCCCCCTGTGGAGTAGGTGGGAAAATGAATGAAGGGTTGGCTTTACTCCTGGCTAAAGCAGCTGAATCAGAACCGTGTGGGTAGCTGTGAGTACCGAAATAAGCGCTAGTAGGAAATGACTACGCTCCAGAACTGAGAGAAAACAGGGAAACCATCTGCAGTACAGATCTGAGTCTTGGCGTCTCCCGATACCATCCTGGGGCTAGGCACATCACACACCACCTCTCATCAATGCAGTCTTCTCCAAAAGCCACTTGGCACATCAGCTAAGTGCAGGAGAGCCTTGTATTAGCATTTAACAGAAAACAAAAGTGTAAAATACACATCTTGGAAACCAAACTTTAAGCAGAGGCAATTACACTCATACAAAAGTGGAATTCAGGTCTTCATAAAAGAAACATAGCACTGATCATTCCGATGCGAGACATCCGACATTAAACAAGCAGTGACAATCAGAACATATCTTTCATCACAGCTTGCAAACTAATTAGCGCCAGTGAGGATTTTCCTTCTCAGAGTGTTAATATGCCAGGGAAGTATTTTTAGGCACACCATGGGAAGCATTTACCAAAGGCCTCAAAACCAAGACAGACTGAAGGACGTGTCACTCAGTGCAGCGTTCCTATTTGACTGCTTCTTCAGTTCCACATTTAAACACTCACAGATTTCACAGCAGGAGTTCAAGGGGTGTGCAAATGTACTGGGATCCTTTCTAACATTCGCATGAGCTTGGCACAAGGCACCTGTAAATTCACTAAATTGCCAGATTTACTGGCAAAAGCTATAAAAACAGTAGACATGCTATCACTAACACAAACACTGCGTTGCTAAAGTGCTTGCATTTTCTGTAATTTTACCTGCCTTGGCTACAATGCCCAAGAAAATGTGTTTCTATTATACTGAAGAGATGCTTAGAATCAAGTTGGCATGAAGACCAGAAATATGAAGAACTTGTGGCAATATGTAGAAAAAAAATTAACTAGTGCCCTATGAAGTGTGCATCAGTGTGTGTGTGTTAAAGTCCAAAACCAGAAAGAGTCAAATAAAGCAAAAAAGAGCAAAAACCCATCAGTATTACCTCAATGGAAGGCAAGGAATTTCTGGAAGAGGAGAGTATTCCATACCTGAAAGAAAGAAAGAAAAATGTGTTAATACCTGATGAGAATTTAAATTTATCTTGATTTTTGGATGAATGTGGATTCTCTCCTCCTTGTTAGATTCCTCTAATTCCCTTGCTGTTGATAGTTTTATTCTTGGTTTTTGTTTTCCAGCTACTTAAGTCACCTTGCTTCTTTACTCTCCTGGAGAAGTCAGTTCCTTGCAAATACCACACAATCACCAAGTCCACCTGCAGTGGTTTTCCATATTTCCTGCCCATTTAAGCTCCAACTTCTCCCTCCGCCGTATTTTCCTTTAAATGCATTCATACAAATTTTGGCACTCTTCTCTTTGGTACAAAAAGCAGTTCCGGAGCCTCCTGCTGTGTAGGTCTACTCTTAAATCCAATGCCTTACGAGTTACCATACAGCAGGAACACCTGCTCCTCTCCCTCTGCTCCTGGCAGACTGACCTGCAGTTACACATACCTGAGCAAGCACCAGTCAACCAAAAGCCAAGGCACTACGGTACAAACGCTCCTCGCGTAAACAGTTAGTACTGCCCAAATACTGGTTACAGCTATCGCCTTCATTTCCTAACCATCAGAGAGAAAAAGGGGAGGAAAATATCTAAATTCATTATATAAAATAACTGCTGCTCGGTTGCAAGCAGGCTTTGCAGAGCCATTTCCAGTATCTGCCTGCATGAAGGCTGCTGCACGTCCAGCAGGATTTACACTCATTGGTCTCAGGGCTCAAAGAGGTCATTTGAGGAGCATCACAGTCCCTTTGCCCCAAAGCTTGGTCAGGCTG